TGTTTAATGGGATTTTTTTATGACGACCCAAATCAATTTTGAGACTATGGTCACTAAGACGAAATTTGGTAAGCACACTACGCAGTCCAAAGTTTTTTAGCTTGACTAAATATGGCTCAAGTTTTAAATCTGATTTGATTAGCCGATATGTTCTTAGTTTGTTTTTCTCATTTGCTTTGGTGCTGTTATCATTATGAACCTCACCTTTCCATCTTGTTAGAAATAAATCCTTGATGCCCAAATCAATTTGTTTCATTTGTGCCGAGGTTAATTTATCACAGTTGTTAACTGAATGATATTGTTGGATATTGTTTAATAATGATGTCACTTCTAGATACTATTTACTTTTAATGTTTTGGTTAACCACAAAAGCTTCCTTGAGTAGTATAGTATAGCATAGTATAGTATAGTATAGGATAGTATAGTATAGTAGTATAGCGCACATGATGACGTCACCGGGCAGAGTCAGTTGGCAAACACACTCAAATAAAATGGCGGATTATACTGACATTAGCAACCGAGAATAACACAGCTTTTCGGTAAGTTTATCATTGTCAAATGCAACGAAAGTCATTTTTATGTTAATATTGTGGCTCGAATGGTTTGAGTTTAGATCGTTATTTTGCGTAGTTATTCTGGGAGTGACGATTTTGTTTCCACCGGTTCGACCGAACACCGGTGTCTTTTTCCAGTCGCTTGCCCTGGAGACGGGTGATTTTTTGTTGACCATCGGACCAAAATCGTCTACGGTATTGAAGCTGTAGCTTTAAATAATCATCAAATTGTATCAACATTTTGTACATTATACAATACTCTTTATTAAAGTAATTGAGCTGATTTGGACTGGAATAAAATATTTTTTATTTGGAACACATCGCAATTGATCAGGAAATATTTTTTTGCTCCAATTTTCTGCGTCGATGCCATGGGAAGGTGACCGTTATACAATTTAAAATCAGTTTGCATTGTTTACTATAGCTGTTTACAGTGTTATAATCATTACGATTTACTTATTTTTTGTTTCTATTCTAGATAATTATGCTCAGTGTTTGATGTAAAATTGAAGCGATGACTGAATGAACGAACCTTGGCTGGCGAAGATGTATCTGGAAGTGTACAAATTTGTTGGAAGTGAAAAAAATATTCAATGTAATGACAAAAATTGTAAAATGCTGTGGAATTTCTTTTGTAAATAAAAATATACTAGCAATTTTCTATTAATGGTTTATTCAAGTGGGCAAAATATAATGTACAGAAAGATTTCCTGTATACACTGAAAAGTAAACAACCGACAGCCTCTATAAAAGGGGAGCTGTGATTGGCTGTTACTTATGTGAGATTTGAACGGGACTTATATAGGCGTCGGATCAGATGTAAGTAGGGCGGAATTTAAAAAAAATTACAAAATCAAAATATGTTTGGCGGAAGGCAGAGTCCGGAACCTATCGACTACTACATGCCTCGCGGGGTCTCACCTCGGTGGAGGAGAGATCACTCCTGATGTGAAACCACCGGACCACACGTCTCTGTTGCACTGATTGCGCTGGTCTATTCCGGTACGGAAGAATTGCGTAACCGATCCCTGGACTCTTCAGGTGGCGATACACGATTACAAGATTCTGCTGCAATCTCCACCCCGCTGGCATAGCCCCCGTTCAGGGCACTACCAGGGGACCCCCGCGGGAGCAATCCGACAGGAGGTAGATAGTTTGCTTACAAAGGGTGCTATACACAGGATAGGGCACCCGGCATTAAGTCTGGGCTTCTATTCACAAATATTGGTGGTTCCAAAGACTACAAGTGGCTGCCCCCTGTTCTGTACTTAAGCAGACTAAATCAGTATGTGCTTCCTGGAAACGTAGAGCACTGTATTATTCTCCATGCTCTGTTTTTACTGGTTAGCCTTGCTAGATTTGAGCGATACTTACCCACACATACCGATACACCCAGTGAGTCAGTGACTTCCTCGATTCACCCAGTTGGGCCAAGTAGTCGAGTGCAGGGTGCTCCCCTTCGGGTTTTGCATGGCTCCATACGTATTCAGTGTGGAAACAGGTGGTTCTACTGCTGTGCCGGTACACATCACATCACCATGACCTAGATTGCTGGTTGCTACACAACCCAACAAGGGGTGGTTAGTCAAACAGTAAAGCTAACACCAGATTTTCTAGACCGGTTGTGCTTTCTAGTAAATCGAGCAAGTCCCACCTTCAGCCAACACAACAGTTGGTTTTCCTGGTCAGGGAGTTCGACACGGAGATGGGCTTGGTACGGTCGCCACAGGCCTGTTGACTAAATGACCTAGTCAAGCGCGTAGTCAGCGTTCCCTTCGAGAACTGATGCGGATCATCAGTTTCAGGGTAGTTCCCCCAGGTCGTGTTACGCAGCTGCCTGTTACAGTGCACTTTTGTTGCAACACCAGGCTCTCTTACGGGAATTGGAGAGGCGAGTAACACTCTCGGACCAAGCAAGGGATGCCTTGCCCTGGTGGTCAGCAATTGCCAACCTCGGGCAGGGGATCCCCTTGGACCCACTCGCCATGGCTATGATTCTGGAAACAGATGCCTCTCTCACATGTTGGGGAGTGCACCTATTGGACGAACAAGCCCAATGAAAAATATGGCCCCTGCATTAGATTTAGGGCTGCCATATCAACTGGCTTGAACTGAAAGAATTGCGCTTAGCACTGATTCACTTTCTACCTATAGTTCGAGACCTAAGAGTCTTGCTTCGCATGGACAACACAGCGGTGATCTCTTATAGCGACAAGGAGGAGGGAGATCAGATCCCCATCGTTGTCAGTCCTAGCGGAGCAAATTCTCCTTTGGTACCTGGAATACAATGTGGAACTAGCCACACACTACCTTCCAGGGATGAGAAATAGTCAAACGGAAGCTCTCTCATGGCAGCTTAGTCCCCAGAACACGAAGTACAAGATACCCCAATGGATAGCTACAGACTGTTTCAGCGGTGGGACGGCCCAAGGTTAGACCTATTCACCACACCCCAGAGTGCCAAGCTCTTGACATACACAACACTCCTGCCGACTCCAGGAGCCTGGGCCAGGGACACTTTGTTGATGCCTGTGGACCCACATGGACGTGTACACCTTTCCTCCCTTCCCGCTATTCACTGGGTACTGGAGAAACTTTACAGGAGCGCATCTGCACTTTGACGCAGGTGGCGCCCAACGGGCCAAGCAAGGTCTGGTTTCCACTACTGTTGGAAATGTTAGTTCACAAGGGGTGCTTCTGGACTTCCAGATCTGCTGTCCCAAACGCTTAGTGCACTGCCTTTGAGTACCACTTATATGCATCAAGGCTCTCAGTTGACCCACTCAGACTTTTTCTGAGTGGGCTGCCAATGTCCTGGCCAGTATGAACAAGGATCCCACCAACACAGCCTACGCCTCAAAATGATACACTGATTGGTGTAGTGGAAGGGAGATCCATGCCATCCCTCTGTTGGCCAGGCAGCTGACTTTTCGTCCATCATTTAGACGTAATGGACTTGTCCTTTCAGTGATTGTTGGCTATAGGTCAGCCTTGTCACCCACCATTGGAGATTCTCTGGGGATGAGGCTAGCCAGTTGTCCTACCATTAGGAGGCTGTTTACTGTTTGATCAGAGGCCTAGACCCCGAATGAGGGAACCAACCAATTGGAACTTATCGATTGTGCTGGCCGCTTTAAGCAGACTGCCCTTTGAGCCTCTCCGATCAGCACCACTCAAACTTTAGTCACGGAAAACAGTCTTCCTACTCGCCCTCGCCTCAGGTAGGTGTCAGGCTGAACTAGGGGCCCTGTCCTTCTTGGACTTGTGTGTCGCCTTTATGGAAAATCAAGTTGTGATAAAGACACGAATCCGGTTTCTCGCCAGGAAGCAAATCCTGGACACAATCTACAACCGATCATCATTCCCGGCTGGCAACATTGCCAACCCGGAGGATCAAGAGGAGTAAATATGTATGTCACACGCAACATAATATTACCGTAATTGGTATAGTACAGGTGTGATGGTTCAAATACCAAAATGGCAACAGTAACATAAAGACTTCCCTGGCGGCGATGATAACATACGAACACGGAGTCAACAGATGAGGTTTCAACTGGTACTGGTATTATTATACTCTGCAAACATCAAGTACAATAACTCGGTAAAACTCCAAACCTCCAATAACTAGATACTTAACTCCAACACAATTCAACGAGATCTCCGATCTCATCGCAGTGCTGAACAACTCCCCTATATATACTCACACTGTCTATAAATAGACCATTACATCAGCATACATAATGAGTATGGAACTTACTACAAATTTCTAGAATGTTCCATTACCTATTCAACCAGTTTCTAAAAATTCCACCCAGACACAGTACGGTTCTAGAACATTCTCAGTCACACGGAAGTGGTAAACAAGTCGTATGCGACAATGTAGTACATGTAAATACAGTATTCCTTATTTGTGCTTCATGCCTCCAATACCTTCAGCACACAGGAGTTCTTTCTAAGCTTTTTCTGATTTGAGATTATGGCAAATTAAACAGTTGCAATCAATATCCATAGATACTCTAACTAATGAATATTTATTCTGATATTATTCATCAATGAGATTGCGAGAAATCTTGCAATTGCAAGTATCCTGTTTAGCAATAATTATCTTAAACTGCATACTGTGGGGTTGTCACAGTGTAAGGCCTGCTTATTACTAATGAGAGGGAACCCACAGAACTCACACTGGACAGGGGGTTCTTTCACTGCCAGTGTGGGGTAGACAAGACAATAGTACTGGAAATGAAATACACATGCACCAAAATATGGTGTTAAAGCTCCTGGCTTTAATAACCTCACAAACTAATTACAAGAAATAAAGCACAGAAAAATACAATGAATAAAGTCACTAAAATAGGGGATTGCTTAGGAAAGTGTGCATTCTCCAGGATGTAGAAATGGACGACAGTCAATGAAATAAAGGAATCTTGCAGAAGAATGCTGGTATTCTGGAGGGCACCGCTGGAAGCAGGAGATTGCAGAGCAGTTCATACAAGTCTCACACAATGATGGATGTAGCCTGTATCACTTGTCACACAATATCGTGGCAGCAAACACTGGATACCAAGTTGAAATGATGGACACTAACTGTCCTGAGTCTGTCCAATTTATAGGCATGGTTCAGTGACACCACCTGGGTTTTCACATGAGCCAATCAGAATTATTAAGGTAATATGACAAAAACATAAAATAAAGGATGCTGACAGGGGTGAAAGTACTGAGCTCTCATACAATCTTTTGTCTGCATTTTCAAGATAGCATGCTAATACTGTATTTAGAATGTATTTTGGTTTAATTTGAAAAAAACAAACATTTATTAAATTTTATCTTAAATTTACACAGGAAATGAATGTCGAAGTCGATGTACAAAATACATGAAGACAAATTTTGGCAATGTGGAGGAAGCAGCACTGTGTTATGGTATCAGTTACCTAGATGACATTCCTGTATTATCTGCTGAGGAGTTTGTGCCATTGTCACCGATGGCAGAATTCAGCCCAACCAAGTCACAAAAGACGACAGCAGGTGAAGCAATGCAGGACATTATTAATAAATTTCCTGTGTTAACGAGCAAACAAAAGTCAAGTCTCTTGTTCCAGCTTTTATTGACATACATGTCCAATGATATCTCCAAGAATTTAACTCTGCGGTATGTGAAACCAGACTTCATTGAACTCTTGGGCCGTGCTCTAGAATCACTGGAAGAGTGTTCAAAAAAGAATATTATATATTTATTATGTAAAAGCTTGGGAGTCAAGCGGGATGATATATCCTCAGTTGTGAAGCACACATATGATGTTCTTGAAGCTCATAATGTGAATGATGAATCTAAAGAAATAGAAGATATATACAAGAATGGAGACAACCTAAACATAATAAGAGATACATGTAAGGTGAATACTAAAGTACTATCTGTGAAATGAGAGCTTTTTCTATTAATATAACAAAAACTGTTGCTAAAGAAAATCTAAGTCAACCACATTGTAATAAACATTTTTTAAACAGTTTTAATTTATGTTTACCATCAACAAGAAAAGAATCATTATGATTGACTAGGCACTTTAGGAAATACTATGGAAGTTCGTAATGTATTACCTCAATATGCGTCTTTTCCAAATTCAATTCATTATATCTATTACAGTGATTATTTAAATATTACAGAAGCTCAAACAAACAGTATTCTATCTATTGTTATTGCAACAGTTTGTTGTAAGGGTATCGGAGTTCATTTGTTTAACGTTTTTAAAACTGTTGACTTATGTTTGTATGTTTAGTTTTTCCAGATGTGAGTTGCGTTCATGCACAGCTCCTTAGCACGGGCTAAGAGGTCAAATTCCTTAGCCCGTGCTAAGAAAACGTGCGTGAACGCTTAGCGTGGGCTAAGGAATGCTAAGTACGGGTTAAATCGGATCCGAATTTAAGACGTCTAGCACGGGCTAACGAAGTATGCGCGAATGCTTAGCCCATGGCTAAGCGCCCTCTGCGACGACCTTTGGGTGTGAAAATTGTCCCATGTTCGTATAAGCATAGACCTAAGGTATATGGTATAACGACTCTATTCCACCAGTCATTACTCCGGGTTCGCTTCCACACTGATCGGGTCGCTGTAGTAGAGCGTACAGCAGCTCCAATTGTAGACAAAATAAATTTGGTTCGCTGTCAACAACATGCATTAATAAAACTCTGTATTCTGTTACGCCCATTGTATACTGTTTCTGTGCATCCAAATAAGTTGGGTCCGTCTTCTCTCGCGTTCCTGTGCACGTTGCTTCAAAATAATTAGAACGAAATTAGAATCTCGCGCGTGTCATCCATTTTTTGTTCATAAATAGCGGCTTACCAAAGGTCACCGACTAATGGCACCCCTTAGCCCGTGCTAACGACTGGCCCTCCCTGTGCGTGGACGCAATTGGGTCTAGCCGAAATGCAAATATGCTAGATAAGCCTAAATCAGCTTAAATCTTAGCCCGTACTTCGTGTAACGTGAACACAACTAATAAGTGTGGGATTGCTTATGATTGTATCCTATTAGGCAAAAGTCAACATAGCGAGTGTTTCTAAAACCAGAGGAATTTTAGAAAGTGAGTACAAGAAAGATATAGGTAAAGATATAAAGGTAAAATAATTTTTTAAAAAAACCTCATGAATTGAATTTACACACAATTAATGTTCTGTTTTAATCCCAGCCCATGCAGATGAAATCCAAAACGAGAACTTATGGGTTGGTCTGTGTGTGCAAGCTTACGGAGCTGTATTCTGAACACTGCTGAACCAATTCATTTCAAACCTAAAACATACTTAATACCTTACACATAGTACAATAGTAATTTCGTAATTCAGTGAAAAATGGGCGACTGGTGGCCATTGTCTGGAACCAGGTCTTATGTTTTCTTCAAACTTAGTGGAACATAGTCTGAC